TTTGATTAAGGTGATCTCGTTATCGCACTTAATGATCCGGGGCTTGATTTAGTAGTATAGGTCGAAGGTCTTGAATAGTATCTTAAAGGTAGCGATAATATACCTTATTATTCGATTAGCTAGGTAGAAGTCCTAGATATAGCCGGACCAGCGGTCTATAAATAGTATCAAGCTATCAAATCCTTCTATATCTTAGATTAAGTATATAAAATCGACCGCTAGCCGTAGACCTAGCCTTTTATCGTATAACCGCGACGCTCGTGATACCTGCCTCGTGATCTTAGTTAGGGCATAGTCTTCGTATTCCGTTATAATCGGGCCCTTGATCTTTATACCCATTAAGCGATTGATTAATTTATTAAGGGCTTCGGGACCCGGATAGCCTAGACGAAGATACTAATCTCGGGCGTTAGCTTTGCTTGATTTCTTATAATATAATCGCGTAGCCGGAAAGGCGCCCTACGGTAGGTTATCGTGTGATATTATATCTTCGAGGATATACTAGTTATAACGATTAAGTAAAGTCCCTAGGATAGAGCCGTAACGCGTACGTAGGTAATTATTACCTAGGCTCTAATCTTATTAGATTCCCTGTCTTTTTAGTTACCGTAGCGAGACTATATTATACGTAAATCCCTTATAATAGGCTATATCACGAAGGATTAGATTCCTTATGGCCGTAGGGGAGGTTAGCCGGATTATAATACTACCGTAGCCGATTATAGGGACTTTCTAAGTCCCTACGTAAATAGTATCTATTAGTATAGCCTAGATAAAGTCTATGAAGCGTGCCTTATTATAGAAGATATATAATATAGCTCCGGAGTTAAGGATTATTATGTCTTTAAGGGGATATAAAGAGCCTAAAAGTGCCGCTTCTATTGGTATTATAAGGAGCGCGGTAGGGACCTCTCTAACCCCTCGTACGAGTTACTTACTCGATAAGGCCGACGATAATAGCTCTTCTTACCTTATAGTAGTTAGCTTCTTAATTTCCCCTTTAATAAGGCCTTTATTAGTAATAAGGTTCTAGTTTACTATTTTACGTATAGCCTTATTTTCTTTAAACCACTTAGGTAGCTTCTCCTTAAAGATATAGAAGTATTTAGATAGCTAATAAAATTACCTATAAGCGCGGTATATAGTCTTTATCTTCGGGGATAACTTCTTCTTAAGCGTTACCTTATTTTTTAAGGTCTTTTACTTCTTTAAGGTAGGGAGAGGCTCGGTAGCTTTATTATAAAGAGTCGGCTTATCGGAGGTATCGGAAGCCGTGTTAGTAAGGAAGGCGCCCCTCTTAACGCCTCGGGTCTTCTTTATAAGTTATTTATTTATCCTAATCTCGTACCGGATTCGATTTATAATCTCTCGATAAGAAAGGGTATTATTCTTAATCTCTTATAAAAGCTCGGCTTTCTAAATCTATAACGAGGGACTAAGGAAGGGCTTAGTTAAGCTTTATAGGGGCTAGTATTACGAGATAACCTCCTTTAAATTTAGGAGGCTAAGGGTCTCTACCTTATATATGATCTCTTTAAATCGCTCCACCTATCTCGTTAGGTCTCGAGGCACCTTTAGTATAGTATAAAAGAAGTCACCCTATATAGTTATTGCTATGCCTCGTGCTAAATAGATATCAAGACCAGCAGCCTCTGCTAGGTTAGAATACTAGACCCGTAGGTCGGTATTATACTTATAGTAATACTCGCGAAGCCGTATCTTAACGGTATCCTTAACCTAGCTCTTTAAGGTAGCGATATTCCGATACTATAAGTTATAGTAGTCGTTACGTATCTTATAGATTTAAAGCCATGCTTTATCGGTCTCCGTGAAGGTATTAGTAGGCTCTAAGCTTCGGGTCTGAACGCTAGGCGATTCTGATTCGAACGAGAACGTAGGTATTATAGGTTCCTTTAGAAAGGTAGGTGGCTCTTTATTATCAAGGTCGATATATTCCTAGAGCCGTAGGGTCTTTGCCTTCGAGATAAATAGGCTCTTCTATCGATACTAGTTAGTTAATCTAGTTAGGACCACCTTCTGATTTATCGTCTCGTTCGAGGAAGACATAGTGATCGAATTCAAATAGATAATAGAGGTAATAAGACTCTTAATTATCGGACACGTGACCGCTTTGGTGGAGGCACGGCCCGAGTTAGTGTGTATGTGTGTAAGTGTTCATAATCGAGGAAATAATAGGTCTTTTTAGGGCCTAGAAAAGGCTATTTAAATTAATAATCAAGAGGCTGATTTTAAGGCCTTTAACTATATGTTCGTGCGTTCGTTCTTGTCGATCGTGCTGTATGCTAATTCCTTCATTACAGCCATCTCCAGACCCCTCTTTGCTTAGTCACCGCGGTCCGACCCCTTTCGGTCTGACACACCCTAGCCTGCCTGGTGCCTGCAGCCCCCCGCGTGCCTCGAACTCGACGCTTCCAATTCTGGCTCCTCCCGTCCCCCAGACGGAGGGAGTCCTTCCGCACGGACAAGAACTGTCGATTTGTACTCCGCACTAAATGGGTTGCTTCAGGATCTCTGCCGCCGCCTCCGCGACGCCACTGCGCATCCGGTCCACCCACAGATCGTACACGTCCCAATCGCGCTGTGTTTGGCCGTCCGCACCGGCGGCAACCCGGTTGACGATGTCGAGGACAGAGCAGCGATCGCCCATCCACCGAGTCGCACATGGGCTAGCTTGAATATTTGCAGCTGCACCTGGTAGTCCACGCACTCTCGCCGTCGAGGGATTGCATGGGTGAACTGAATTACGCGCAGAGAGCGTCAGGCCTGGAGAAGGAATCGTCAATGTCACCCGTCACACGGCACGAATTGGCGATCGAGACACCCCAGAAATGCACATACTACTCGTCCCAGCTGCAGAAAAATAGAGGATGGGTCTTCTAATCCGGCTCAGTGCCGTGTACATGATTTCAACCCTTTTGAACGGCGCCTCTAGGGTTCCGTGTATCCCCGAGAGTAGCAGCTGTCGTCTACAAGTAGTTCACGCCTCAAGACACGAGTGTCTGGGCGTCGTTTGAATCAAGCCGTAAAGAGGGCTCCGTCGCGTGTTGAGATCTTCCCTCCGATACCACTCCCTTTCAATCCCCTTTGCTCCCGACCCAGGGATGACGTAGCGCACATTCTCCCAGATCTCAACGGCCAACCAATATGAAGCTGGGAAAGGATCGTGATAATACTAAATTCAGCATATCAGCACCTGAGTCATGAAGATGGCTCTTTCGTACCCCGCAGTCCAGCACGCTATTCGCGACAGCACAACCACGTCAACCAGCGCCGCCTTCATCACAGCCATAAGTTCATAGCTACCACGAAGCGCTTCTATCTTCTCGATTGCTCGCCGTCGGTTGCCTGCAAATATCTCCAACATTCGAATCGAACCGCGAAATCATGAAGAAGATTCCGGCACCCCATTCAGCCCGAGTGTTGTGACGTTCGGGTCTAGACAAGCTACAGGGTAGGTAGAATAGAAGTCGGTTATTGAACTGAGTATACTAGGATGTCGTCGACTTAAGCGGTCGAGTCACAGTCTATGTGCGAGATAGTAAATCTTGCGTAGATAATCATATTAATAGATAAGAAGAGCTAGTAGAGGCTAAATATGGTAAAGCGTGGCTTCTTATATACTAAGGTGATTATTGTCTTAAATAATGATTAGTGTGCTTACGCGTAGTGATTCGTGATAATCGTAATAATCGTGGCAGCGATTATTTATATAAGTAGTGATCGTGACGTGAATAGTGGAAAAAAAGGTGGGGTGCTTCTAGAAGCACGCGAAGGTCGTATATGGGGTCGTAACACGAGGACTATTGCGCCGCCATCTAGGCTTCGACCGTTGTCTCTGAGACCGGATTCACAGCGCGTGCAGTTGGCGTCAGCCACGCAACTAAGCGAGAATATGCGGCCACGACTAGAGCCGACATTGACCGTCTTGTTGAAGACCGGGCCTGCAAAGAGAAACATGGCGCAGGGTTGAGGTGTTTTCCTAGTGTCAGATGCGTGAACGACCAGGCTTGCGAGAACAGCACTTTTTGGATGCGGTGAAAGACGCTATGAGCACTAATAAGCTGCTTATTACTGACATGAGAGACAAAACACTTGTTGCAGCATTCTCATATTTGGTCTCTGCCAGCAAATTGGCCGAAGTTCGCGTTCAAATCAGCGAAGATATCGGCAGGAACGCCAAGATGAAGCACAGCAGGCTTCACAAGCCCGCTTTTGTCTCTCGTGATAGAAGGCGAGGCGGCAAAAAACTTTGCTAAAGACTATCGCCTCCGGTTGTGGAGCGAGGATCTGCAGCGACTCTAAAGTTCGATATGGACAACCCACGACTTTCCACGCTTAGGCGTGGACTTCCGCCACGTTCTCGACATACCACAACAGCCTCGTAGTCTGAATCTTTGCGTGTGCATACTTAAGTCTCACTTCCAAGGTCAATGGCGCCGTGTAGATGCAATTGTATGCTTTGGCGTGGGTGGCATCTACGCCTCAGCATTGGCCTTTTCCGTACAGAAACCCCTGACTCTTGTCCACGAAGCTGGCAAACTCCCGCTCGCGATAGTGTCCGTTGCCAAGGTTTCGTTACGTAATTTTTCTTCCCTATCAAAGGAATTAGCAGAAAGCAAGATTGAGATAGACGCAGGCGTGATTCCTAAATGTAGGCGTGTCCTCGTGGTGGATGGCGTGCTTGCAACAGGCCGTAAGCTTTATGCCATGTGGTAGCTTCTGAGCGAGGTTGGAGTCAGCGCTGGTAATATCGACGCCTTGGTAGTAGCAGAGTTTCCGATTCATCGTGGACGGCACGTATTGCTCTCTTCTGGCTTTGGCAATTTGCAGATTCAGAATCTCGTGGTCCTCGGGGGTGCTTGGATAAGAGGGAGCAGTAGGTATACGTATTTAAAAATACTATTATTGAGCGGTATTAGCGAGCCCCTATTCCACAGTTAGAATATGAGTGTAGCGCTGCCTGAGTTGAACGTGCATGTTCACTTTCCACTTGACACAGCACTGGCGAGGTTGGAGCCGGTCAGCTTCCCATTGTACAGAAGAGCGTCTTCCCACCGCCACACTTGCGGTGTAAGACTGCCCCCGTCGCAGTGACGTAGTTCCTGACAGAGGTCGACTATGCTCCTCGTCGTCATCCTGAACCACCCGTCCACCACTGACGATCGAACCCTACTGTTCCTAGTGAGGCTCTTCTCCGTCTCTTCATCGTGCTCTGCATCGACGCACCTGACCCAGAAGAAGGGGTATCTGTTCAAGGCCTCCAATACCTCGGTGTCGGCGAGGAGGAACAAGCGTGGATCGGGCCATGTAGTTTCGACGCCGCCCTTGATCTCTGGCCCTGTTCTACGCATGCGCACCTGCCAGACGTCGGCCGAAGATTTGCCACCGAGGAGCGCCGGATCAGACAATTGGTCGAGGAACAAGAGGTCCCGAAGACGGGCAGCCACCCGCTCCTCACCCAGCGGTAGGTACAGGTCAATTTCAGTCGGAGCATGCGCCATGATCTTGGCGAGGAGAGTCTCCAAGTGCATGTCGGACGTCTCGACCGGTTCGCCACGAGGTGCGATAAATTGCGAAGCCCCATGGTCGATGATACAGGTCTGTGTCTTGGTCCGAAAGGGTGTCCTGAGGTTAAAACGTTGCCTAGAACCCGACCGCTTAATTTAATATAACCCAGTGTACTTATTTCACAAACAGATATCTTTTCTATCTGCCTAGTAGCTAGTTTAGACCCGAACGTTCTAGGAGAGGTGCGGAGGCCACTTGGCGGCACAGTATCAGGCTAGGGCCTTGGCCTCTAGCTTCTTCGGGCCTGTCACCCGAGCCAAGAATTCCACTCAGCGGATTTCTTACAATACGTTCCTATTTCTATATAATTTGTGAACGCGTAGGGAGGTGAAGCGAGGCTGGGCATACAAAGTGCCCAGACGGCCTATGAGCTGTCTCATCCGACGAGCCATACCCCCTTTGCAGCCTCATTGCCTCTTGGCTTGAGGAATCCATGGCCCATCTAACCTGTCAATAAATAGTTTTGAGGGGAGCTTAAAAGCAAGTTGAGATGATCCAGATGACCTTAGTGTGTATTAAAGTTTTGCTCAATATGCACATTAATCTACGCAGGTATGCTTTAGAGATGAGGCTAAATGAGGGGAACGCCAATAAAATGAATGAGGCGCGCGTGAGGATAAGCGCCGTTGGGCAAATTAGCCTCCCGGGAAACGGACCGGCACCTTATGCATACTGCGCATGTGTCGCAGTACTAGCCTCCCGGGAAACGGACCGGCATCTTATGCGTACTGCGCAGTTGTCGCACAAGAGGCAGCAACTTGAGAGAGGTGGCTTTAACTAAGTTTAGTTGCACATACATTGCCCAGCAATGACAGGCCCGTGTATCCTTGATCGTCGTCCCAGTGGCCAAGTCCCATGTCCGTTACCGAGCCAAACCATGGACACAATTGGGTCTTATTGGTTTCCCAGCCAATGCGAGTGGGAACAATGCAACCCTGGCACGCGTTGGGGGACACGGCAAAAAGGCGAGCTTTGATTGGAGGTGTGAGGGGAGGGGCGAGCGGGACAGGGGGTGGATAAATCGCGTCTGGGTAATGTGGCGGCATCTAACTGTGGTGATGGCTAAAAGGTGGTAGAAGTGGTGATGATGGTGGTGGTGGTGGTGAGGACTGCCAATAGGTGCCAGCAGCTCGAGGGGTACAACAGGTAAAATAAACTTAGTCGACTTGTGCATGTGTGGGGAGCATGATCGTCCAAGGGTCCCTGGATGATCAATAAATATCTCTACATGCCCACGCCTCAACCCCAGAGACCTCTTCGTTTCCTTTTGCTTTCCCATCCCCTTTTTACCAGGCTATTTTTGCTTTGGCCCTACTCTCAATTTTGTCTTCCTTCGGCCTCCACGGCGAACACAACCCATCGAGCGCAAGCTATGAAGTTCTTAGAAACTTTGAAGGGCAGGGGGCCCAGTCACGCGAATCATGCTCGAGAGGAAGCCCCTAAATTCGAGTATGTCAAGTGGACCAGCGACCCCGGCCTTCGCACCCTCTACTGGTACTGCTTCATTCTGCTAGTCTCGTCCGCTTCTACTGGTTTCGATGGGTACGTTATGACTCTTCAATATGTCATCTTGATCGGTATACTGACCCTTTCCTCCCCAGCATGATGTTCGGCGCTGTGCAGAATTTCGATTCCTGGAAAGAATTCTTCGACAGTCCCAGCGATGCAAGACTCGGTCTCTTGGGTGCTTGCTACCAGATTGGCTCTGTCTGCTCCATTCCTTTCGTTCCTATTGTTGCCGATCGTTGGGGCCGTAAGCCCGCTCTCGCTTTTGGTTTCTTCACGATGACCGCTGCTGCTATCATTCAAGGTGCCTCTCAGAACTGGGCGAGTATGTTTTGAGTCCACATGATATTTTCGACACTACACAGTTGACTGATATGTTCTTCTAGCCTTCCTAGGTGGGCGTGTCTTGCTTGGTTTTGGCAACAGTTTTGCCCAGATGCCCTCACCCATGCTGATATCCGAGCTCGCACACCCTCAGCACCGAGCTAGGCTTACCACCATCTACAACTGTCTCTGGAACGTCGGAGCCGTTGTTGCTGGATGGACCTGCTTCGGAACCGACTACTGGCCTAGCAACTGGTCGTGGCGTCTACCTTCTATTTTCCAGGGTACTCCCTCTTTCTTCCAGTTGATTGCCCTCTGGTGTAAGTGAAATCTTGGAACAGGTATCAGTCTTTGTAGCCCGCTGACATGTGCAATAGGGATCCCCGAATCCCCTCGATTCTTGATTGCCAAAGACCGTTACGACGAGGCCCTAAACATTCTTGCCAAGTACCATGCCAATGGCAATGTCGACCACCCGACTATTCAGTTTGAGTACAATGAGATCCGCGACACCATCAAGCTGGAGCAGACTGCCAATGAGAGCACCAGCTATCTTGACTTCTTCCGCACCAAAGGCAACCGATACCGTCTTGCTATCATTGTCTCTATGGGATTCTTCTCGCAGTGGTCTGGGAACGCTATTGTTTCCAACTATAGTGCTATTCTCTACGAGAATGTTGGTGTTGCTAGCTCCACCGCGCGTCTTGGTATATCTGCCGGCCAGTTCACCCTGGGTGCCATTGTCTCTATTTCCTTTGCCCTTCTGGTTGACCGCTTTGGTCGTCGACCAATTTGGTTGATCTCGACTGGTGGTATGTTGGCCTGCCTTGTCTTCTGGACAATCTGCTACGGTATTTATGAGCAGTACGATCAGAAACAAGCCACAACAGGTGTTATTTTCTTCATCTGGCTACATGGCTTTTTCTACTCCATTGCTTGGTCTGGGCTCCTAATCGGTTACGCCATCGAGATTCTGCCCTATTCCATGCGTGCTAAGGGCATGATGTTGATCAATATGTGCATCAACGGTTCCCTCGCACTCAACAATCAGGCCAATCCCATTGCCTTCGCTTTCTGGGAGGGTGAGACCTGGAAGCTCTACACGATCTACTGTGTAAGTCCCGCTTGGCTACATACTTTCAACTGATGAGTAGTGCTAATAATGAATGACAGTGTTGGGTTCTGTTTGAGCTTGTCTTTATCTACTACTTCTACGTTGAGACGAAGGGCCCGACCCTGGAAGAGATTGCAAAAGTCTTCGATGGTCCGGACGCGAAGGTGGCCGCCATTGATTTGGGCAAGATCAAGGATGACGATCAACCCCAGGACATACAAGACGAGAAGCACGTGGACCAGAACGCTACAACTGAGGTGAGCAAGGTCTAGTGTCTCGGGGAGCTGGCATTTCTTCTCTTTCTTCTTTGCCCCACGAAGCTATCGACACTCGTTCGAAGCCGCCATTTAGGCAAGATAAGCCCCGTGATGGGTGGGTCTGAGTTACTGTGGACAAGTATCAGTGTGGACAAGCTGCCCGGGAATATGGTATTCTATTTCTTAGTCAATTCTCTGGCCTAGAGTAATTTGATGTCAGGCACCACATAAACATGGAGTGCCTGAGTTCTCAGCAATGCCTCATTTTTTCAAGTTCCGCATTCCCATTATCGTCTTCGATGCAAAATGACCCATCAACAAAACGACCTCCACAGCACTCTTTCTGCGATTTGCACTGTCAAATTCGCGGGAGTACGGCATCTCGGTCTTTGCTTCATCACAGCATGAAACTCTCTTACACCTCTCCACACGTCCCACACCACCTCACTCACGGCCGTTCAAAAAGAAGGGTCTTACGAAAATGGGGGAGTCAAGGCCGTCTTGGCCATGGTCTGGTCGTTCTGCACCTCATCAAGCCACCCGAAGGTAAGTCCATGCTTCAGTCATTTGCTGAGTTACATCAGCACAGGAGAAAAGCTCCACGCAGACAAAAAAAACTCCAAAACGCGGCCTCCCGGACGATTGATACTAAACTCCAAACCTCATACTTCGCTGCAGTATGACTGCCCAGCAACTTCTCAATCTGCTTCGGCATTTTGTGGCCTACCTGCTCTCCATGAACAGACTCAAGCTTGTTCTTTAGCTCAGCCTTTCAGTCCTGGTGCCGAGGATCATTTGGTGAAGTCGTATTCTGGTCAGGCAGGTACGGGCGCTCACAGTCCCAGAGCTGCGGGCAAGCGGAGGTCTGGGATTGGTGTTGCAAACCAAGTTCTTTCTCCACAAGTCACCCGACATCATACAAGCATCACGGGCTGGATTGCCAGATCCAAGGTTTATTGCACTCCCCTGCAAGAAAAGACAGAATCTCACTTCATGGCAGGTCCTCAGACACGTCGACGACCCGAAGTCCAGAGTTTCTCAACGCCAAACGTTCTGCAGTGATTGGGATTTCACTGATACTAAGACCTGGACAGGCCTCCAGCAAGAAAGCGTCGGTGTCTGCACAAAAAACGGCGTCCTCCTCCTTCATCGCACTCTGCCAGATGACCGGATCTCTGATGCACACTGACCAAGGAGGCTCAGTCCTTCCTGCGATATTGCCCGTACAGATGGTACAGTGGTTAGCATGTGTAGCTTCCTATCCTTGACAATGTGTCTGTTTTTGGAGCCTAGGATCAGATCTCTGTGTACTAAAATCTACCCCAGTAAGTCATAGAAAGAGACTTGCACTACCACAAAACCCGGTTTTGGATGTGGAGTCGTGGACTCTATGTACTGCTAGGTACTTGTAAGTGGGTCCCGGTTTTGACGAGGCGCACCGTGCGCCACAGTGTTCGTCACTCGAATCGGCACTTTGTGCAACACTCAGCACACAGCGTCCGGCACTAGCGATTCAAGAAGCGGGGGCTATCACGGCACAGAACACATACCCCGCTCTAACTAGCTGACGAAGAAACCTGGTACTTATTATTCTACTTTTCCGGCGATAGATCATCTTGCAACCGATACACCACGGGATACAGTACGGATCACATTTCCAAAATCGCTTCCAGATTTAATCGGAACCGTCGTTCAGAGCGGCTCAGACCGAAAGTCCCCGATCTGTTTCTTGAGGTCTGTTGCAGCTATGCAAGCCGTCAAGCCCCAGTACCAACATTATATTCCGCAATTTATCTTGAGAAACTTCGGCCACCCATTCGTATGCCCCAATACCACGAGCAACAGCTCAAAATGCAAAAAGCGCCATCACAAAAAAGGCCAACACCCGGGCGATCCTGTTGTAGATTGCCTACAACTACTATCAGATGGTTTCAAAATCGAGATGCATCCTATACGGCGCCTTTGCGGTCTCAACGATATGTACACAGACCGGGCATCAACAACAGAATCTCCTCGTCAACTGGAGAGCAAGCTCAGCCAGGTTGAGTCTAGAGCCTGTCATATAGTTCGCAGGATCGTCAAGTCATATGAGCATGGCCAGAGCTCTGTCGAGCTGACCCGGACACAACGGGACATTCTACGCAAGTTCTTGTTCTTATTGATTTTTCGTGGCTCGCAATTCTTTCAAAGATATAATTGCGAGAGCATCGAGGACTACGACCACGATGACCGGGCTTCGTTGAGAGAATTCATGGAAAGACATGAAGTTCAACGGCCGATAGATGTCTGGCTGCATGGGTTAAGTGCCATAATCGATCTCGAACTCGATTTGGGAGATGAATGGGCACAGAAAATGAAGTTGAGCACGTACCCTGCCATCGCAGAGTTCTTTACGGACCATATCGCGAATTTTTGGACCGCTTTATGCACCCCTTCAAGTGAGCACGAGGAATTTGTCCTTCCTGACACGGGTTATAATATTCACGAAGGACCCGTTGTCCATTTTCAGAACAGAAGGAATGGAGAAGACTTTCGAATAGGGCCCCGCTTTCACTATTTTGCGCCTATAGCTCCCCGACTAATGATTGTCGTACGGAATAGAATCCTGCCAGAGCCACGCGAGGACCGCAATCCGGAAACGAAGACTCAGCGTGAAGTATGGCGAAAAGTTTCGAATCAAGGATCTGAATCCATTTTAGAAGACCTTCCAGTTCACAAACCTTTCCCGGATTATTTGAGAGACTTCGATGGAAGTTCGAAACCAAAGCCTGGCTGGGACGGACAGTATCGGAAAAGTGACCGTTTCACATTCCCCTTCTTCCAGATTGGTACGCATCATATGCGTATTATGAACGGCATACTCCTTGACCATGCGTTCCACGGCTCGACAATCATATTCAAACAAAAGAACGTCTTTCTCAATCTTGTGGAATGGTTTTTAACCGAGCCTTGCGAAGTTGGCAAGAACTTAAGCGGCGAACATTGGAAAGGTCAGAAAAGATACATTGAACAGTTAACCGCATTTCTGCTGGCCGAGGGACGAGAGGTCTCAGCTAGGGTCACATTCTACCCAACACGACATGACCTTGACATAGACCGTTTTAGGGAAGAGAACGCTCACACTGAGCGACTCCCTGGGGAATTTGATAGCAGTCAGTCCAGTGAGTCAGGGCAGCCTAGTACGAAGCTAGAGCTACTCCCTGCGAACTACAGATTCAAGGTGAATTTTGGAAGTAAATCAGATAGAGGAACTGGAGACACAGAAAATCAGCGACTGGCGCCTGATCCAAGCGCTAAGAATGAGCACAATCCCGAGGAAGGTCCTTTGGTCGACGTCATTTCCGAAGGAATCACGGATCTATCAAGAGCTTCACACCCCGAGGAAGTTATACCATCGCATACCTTGCCTGATGGCCTGGCTGTATCGCTTGTAATGATACGTGTGTGGCTCAGGAACGCGGAATTGGATCGACGGGATGGTGCTATGACTGGCACCAGGCTTGAAAGCCTCTTACAAAAGTATTTGCAACATCCTAGCCCTGTATTTTGGCTCTTTTTGAAGCAAATTCGACACCGTATATGGAGGCGGGATCAAACAGGCATACCCGCGAGTGAGAAATCGACCTTCGATGAGAGCTTTTGGGCGGGACCAGAAGACAATATTATGGACAGTGAGTTCTGACTTCTATTCGCGGGTGTGCGCAATAAACTGATATCGCATTCCCCTAGTGAAAGCCGTCCTGGACCCTTACGACTCGAATGTTTTAATGTGGGGGGCTTTGACTCACGATATAGGCAAATCACGGATATTTGAAGAGGAAATGAGCCCTGCAGAGCTCACCTATCTGTTCTTAGTTCATGAAGAACCTGAACAGAGCAACGACCCAAACTACAAGCACTTGAGTAAGCTAAAAACAGCGGCAGTACACTCTCAAGAAGGGAAACCACAGGGGGTTGAAAGAAAACGAGACCCTCCGGCTGAATTCAGTTTCTGGAACATGGTATTTATGGCTATATTGATTATCATGCTCGTCTTTGGAGGTATTGTTTTCTGGATACAAGCTCTAGTAGTTGCCGAACAGAATCTGTTAGCTTTTCTTAGCAATATATAGCGCCGCTCGGTCACAGTGCAATTATCCCCTAGAATTCTATAGAATTGGGACTAAACTTTACTTCCTAGCGATATAATCTAGATTTTAGGGGGAATAATACCGCTCGTATGCATATTCGAGGTCTTGATTAACTCGTAGTTCAGATGTAGAAGATACTGCCGGACTGTCACAATTACCGCTTGAGCACCTGGCGAGTTCTTGCGTTCTATTCTGCAAGAAGTTGCACAGAATCCTCCCGGTACAGGACCCACGTGTTGTCCATGCAAACATTGATGAAGAAGGCAGAGGTTATCATTGCGACACTCGCAGGCGTGCCAAGAAATAGCCAGGCTCTGCATCGCTTGTAAGGTGCCGAGATAGTTCACCCCAGCAACTCGCGACGAAGATACAGCACTTCCACCTCTATGATCTCAGCCTTACCGTAGTGGTCCGGGCATATTGCATCGCCGCAAGTGACCATGCTCTCGGTCATCTGGACTGGAAACCATGGATGTACCTGAACGGACGCCCACCCATGACCCTGCAACGTTGGCTGATGCAAAACCCGATGCTACAGTACATTTGACTACACAGATCAATACTTCTGGCTGCAGCCTCCCTTTCAGTCCTGTATGTAATCCAATTCTCCCCCACTTGCCCGGGGCCATACTGACAAAGAACTTCCCATGAAGCCAGCATTCCATACGCCGATTCCCAAACTTCCATCAACACCCTCGCACCTGCCCTCGAAGCATAGCAATGGGCGCCGAAGCGACGTCAGCCTTGCGTCTTCCTTTACATTCGGCTCGAGACCCCCGCCCAAGGACAAATAGTGCACAACGGCCCAGCAAGCTATGATGAAACATAAACAACAATAACGGCACCCGCTTCCGCCTTCACCTTACATGGATCATGGTCCAAACT